GAGTGCCTCAGAATGCAACACTCATCAGGAGCCTGATGGAAGCAGTACAACAGAGTGTCTTGACGATTCCCTCAATTGCAAGACCACTTTTTCTGGAACAGGTGCTAGTTTGTCCCCCTTAAAGTGTCTGAAAAGATCAGCTCATTCTAAAGAAGGGAACACTAAGGGAACTTCTAAGTCTGATGAAAACATGACTTGTTCAGAAGATGTTGGAAACACCAACTATATGCATATAAGTTTGGAAAAGCAAACATTAAAGAAGTCACCTTCCAAAAGAAAAATGTCTACTCCATTCCACAATATGCAGGGCCAAGATATTCTTTTAGATTTCCCAAAATGCCGACAAAATTTTAAGAAACCTGAAACATCCAAGAGGAGTAAAGAAATTATCAACAACGGTCATTTTATGTGTGATTCTAATGATGATCTTGGACCTGAAGAATGTGAAAGTAACGAGAATGCTAATGCACGTTTTGTTAAAAAACAGACTTCACCTGCAAAAGCAAGTCTTGGTGCCTCAACAGGTCACTTTGGGAAAAACCACAGTTCCCCAAGGATGCTTTCTGTCAAAGATGAATGCAAGGATGAAGAAATCTCGGAAGCGATCACAGTTGTAAAGCGTGAACCGAGCTCAGATGTTGAGACAGATCTGAAGGCTTGTCCGTACTGTCCTGCTGTATTTGAGTCCGGAATTAGCCTCTCTAATCATATAAGAGGACATTTGCACCGAGTGGGCCTGAAAGTACGGAATTCTGCAGCTAAGGTGACTTCTCTTGAAAAAGTACCTCCAGTTAGACGACGAACACTGCCACAAGTCAAAACAGGTGATGCTTGTCTTATACTTGATATAATTTCTTGCATCTATTCAGAGGTTTTCAATTTCATTTGTTAATAAAATCAATTAAGATATTAGTTGCAGAAAAGCCTTTAATTATGATACTTTCCTTTTTTCAGGTTTAAAAGACATTTGCAAAAAAAACAAATGGGAGGAAATGACAAATAGTACAGGTTTATTGTAGGCTAGATATTTTATTTAGCAGTTGGTTTTGCAGTTAGCATCCATAACTAGGAAAAATAATTATCGGCTTATCCGTATCGGCCAGTATTTTTTTATTTTAGTGCATCCATAGAATATTTTGTGTACTATGCATATTCCAGTAGATGAATTTATGCTACAAAGTAGGGCTGCACAATTAATCGAATTTCTAATTCTGCATGCTTAAGATATGTTTTTTTCTTTCTACTTGTTATCTTAGGGGTTTTTCCATTGTTTTAGTTTTAGTATAACATTATAATACCATTCAAATGTTTACTTTTTTTTAATTTAAAGAAGAAACCAATCCGATGTATATTTGACATTTGAGGCTTAATACTATAGAAAAGCACTAAAGGTTTTTCAGTTAGAGTGTTTTCAACTTGTTTATTTTCATATAAAAATACGGCATACAGTTGCATCAAACAATGGTATAAACATCATTCAATGTAAATTGTGATAATCGTAATAAATAATCGCAATTACAATTTCAAGGGAATAATCGACAATTATGATTTTTGTCATAATTGTGCAGCCCTACTACAAAGTGCTACAAAGTTTAGAAATGTTACATAATTTAGCATTTTTCAGGTTTGGTCCAAATTTACTGATTGGCCTGTATTTTTTCCAAAAGTGTAGATGTCAGAAAAGTGAAGATGTATGCCAGCTTTTGTGAATGGACGATCAGCTAATTTTCTGATAATTGGCCAGTAAGCGCTACTACGATGAGGGAATTTTCTGCTTTTTCATATACTGAATATACAATCCATTCGATTTGCAGAAAATATATTTTATCAATTACAATTTTACAAAAAAAAAAAAATCTTTATATATAAAAATTGTGAATGCGTTATCCAAAATGTATGTATAATCTAGGGATGCACCGATATGAAAATTTTGGCCGATACCGATAACTGATAATTCTTTATTTTTGAAAGCCGATAACCGATATGTTGGCCGATAAATCTATGTCCAAATTTTTATGTACTTTTTGAGAGCCTGATTACAAAAAAGGTCTCATCATTAAAAGCCACATCCCAAACACTTCAACATAAGCAGCCTAGTTTGAACGGTGTACGTTTTAAAAATAATTTTACTCTCCCATTACCAAATTTAGTCATAAAAAAGTCTTACAAATAAATAAAATAATGCATAAATAATGCAAACAAGTCACTGGACATCACTACACGTGTAAAGAATCAAAATGAATGCGCCACAGATCAATAAAACGGAATAGCCTCTGCACGGACAATAATTAAATGATTTTAATTACTAAACCATATTG